ACCAAAAAATAAATTAGTCAAGTTATACTTAAACTGAATCAAACACTCCTGAAGATTAAATTAAAAAATAAAGAGAAATACTATTAAGATCTAAAAAATTGATCTAATTTGTTGATCTATGACTGAAACTTTTGGATTTTCATCCATTACTTAATACATCATTAAGTCAATAAATTAAATTAATTTTATAGGTCTAATAGCATTACTCAAAAATAAATAACAGTATTATTTACAGCTAATTTGTTAACATAATTTATTAACATAATTCATCACAATTATTAGATTGATTATGAGTCTCAACATGTACTGAGATCACTGTTAATCTAATAATTATGATTGATTATTTCAGAAATTTAAGTCTAAATAGCATTGATCGGAATTCGCATTAAAAATTAATCCTACTTGAAACTGGAGCTATACGTACAAATTCTCTCCCAATATTTACAGAAAGCAACGAAATTACAAACTCCTAAGATGTCTTTTTTTTTTTTTTTATTGTTCAACGGTAAAAAGTATTTATGTCAAGTTTATGTGTATTTCGACTAATTTTTTCTCAAGTTTGGTCAAACACAAACATTTTATTTTATTTTTTTTGCTTGGCTAAAAAAAGGGGTGGAGACAAAAGAGAGTGTCTAAAGACCACCTCGATAAGCTCTCATTAATGGGATCATGAGGTTTCTAAGTGCGCTCATTACTCATCTCAAAAACAAACCTAGTTAGACAAGTATAACGGTCAATTGTCGATCCCTAATATAAATTTTAAAACTCGAACCTTCAACCTCAAAGTGAAAAATTTGACCCAGTACTCTCAGGGGCAGAGCTAGAAAGTCATTCCAGAGTGGACACAAATATTTCAACAAACTAAATTTTTTTTTTTACAATCAATACAAATAGGATAATAATTTATATTTAATTACATTATATTTAATACTTAAAAGTTTATTAAACGCAACATACCAAAATTTGGTAAACTTAGTATATACAAACGACACCAATTTTTTTTTATACAAAATATAGGCTAATTAAAATTATTTAAAATTGACTCCGGTGAATTTTGATACTTTGAAACCGTTGCATAATAACTTTATTATTCTTTATATACACCATCATTTTATCACTTTGGTATTTATAATTTATTCGATCAATTATGTAGTATGACGTACACTCTATAATTTTTACCATAATTTACAAAATAAATGTTAAAATAACAAGTAAACTACACCACACCAGTGGACCATGCCTCCCTCCGCCCTTGAGTACTCCTCTACACCACACCACAGAGTGGTGACAGGCATATGAGTCTGACAACATCCTCGGGGATTAAATACTCCCTCATCCATACCAGATGGGCATAGAATTATCAAATTTATGGTTAATTTTAGCAATTTTGAATAATGAAACTGGTTATACTTGTGAATTAAAAGTTAACACAAACTCGATTAAACACAATGTCATTCAACTAAATATTATTATATTACAATACCACGTGCTGGAAAATATCGGTTCCAACCGCGTCGACACATCCGGTTTTAGCTTTGTCTAAATTAGAAAGGATTAATTTCACTAAAAGCCCTTAAAATATGAGATTTGTTTCATTTTAGTCTATAATATTTCAATTGCATCATCTTAATTTTTGAATTATTGAATATATTTTTATGTGATGCATTAAGCAGATAACGTATAGATTAATAACGATTTTTTATTATAAATTTATCACGTAATACAAAAATATGAGTAAAAAAATAATTTGGATAACTCATGCTTAAATTTTTATCCAAATTACACAGTTTTGATCATGAGTTATTCAAATTTTGGTCAAGAACTATCCAAATTTTGGTCAAGAGATACCTAAAATATTTTTTGCCTATATTTAGGTATCTCGTGAGAAATTTATAATCAAAAACTGCTAGCAATCCGAATGTTTTTATTCGATTGACCATATAGAAACATATTCAATAGTTCAAAGACATAAATGATACAATTAAAATATTATAGATTAAAATGAGATAAACTCTATATTTTGGGGACATTAGTACAGTTAACTCAATTAGAAAATGAACCTAAATTGATCAAATTCTATGTTTGTTTTGCAAGATTTTTATTGAGAAATTAATTATTTTGAGATTGTTTGTTAGGTTGTTGGGTTTAATTTTTAAGAATCTTTGTTTAGAAATCCAACTCAAATTTTAAATTGCTCGTAAGTGTTTTTGAGAGTCAAGCTTGAACAAGAATTTAAACTAAACAATTAAACTCAACTAGTTAAAACTGAGTCGATCACACTTTTTTTGATTTTATTATCGAAGAGTTGATTTTTAGAGCCCCTCCGATCTCTTTGACTTCTATTGCAAGAACTTCTTATGGATTATCAAATCATCTCATATTCCAGTGCTGCAGGTTTTAAGATCAACAGTTATAATGAATTAGATTAATGAATTCTATCAATAAATTAAATTTAAATAATATTATTTGATATTTTGAACTTGAATTTTGATTGATTGGCTCAAATTGCGCTACTAGTCGTGATAGGTAAAGGGGATTATGTTGACTAATCCTATGTTGATGGGTTACGATGTAGTAAATGTGAAATCAAAATACTAGCACGTTTACGAAGTATGTCGGAAAGTTATAGGAAGAAGCCCATGGTGCGAGTCTTTAAACATCACCCTCATCTCTCTCTCTCTCTCTCTCTCACACACACACACACATTGTTCCTCCAATATGATCCACCCATAATAGCTTGTCTGAACTCTTTTATTTTCACGAGCAATGTTTTTTGGATCGAAAAAAAATAGGAAACGAGATTATTGAATATATGATGAATCTCAAATTTAACAAATCTTAGTAGATGGCGGTGCGATTCGTGTTTTCCAACAACTCCCCGACAATGACTCCAAAACTTGTTAGAATTTTAGAATTGATTACCCAAATATAAGTTGTCATGAAGTGACATATTTTATTGCAGTCCTAGGTCGAACTACAGGAAATTGACAAAACTTAAAACGTAAGAAAAATTGCTTTAAAAATTATTTGGAGAATTTATTTATTCAAAAGAATAAATGTTGTATGATTAAAAATAAAAAATTGAAATACTAAAGCATCAGCGATATTCTTCCAATTTTTCATGCAATCCGAATTTTTGAACTTTGTGTCGATTCATTTGACAAACATCAAGGTATCTTCTAAGTTGCATCAGTTCACATGTTGGCTGGTTGAAACAGTCACTATCATGTTTATAAATAATTCAGACTCATTACAACATTATGAATTAGACAATCATAACATTCATAATTTTGACATTGATAATTTGTATTTTCTGAGAATACATAACAGAATTTTGATTCTAAGAACAATTAAATTGTAGTGTTACTTTCAAATTGCATGAAGATTATTGTATCCTAAGACCAGACGCTGAAGTTTTCATAAGCACCAAATGTGGGGTTAAAATTTACTTTAAGAACATAGTGTCAAATATTATCCTTAATCTATAAAGTTCATTTTCAGTTTCTGATCTGTAAAAGGATCAGTTTATTTATCACAGTTTATGTATTACTATTTTGTTAATGTATGTTACTATTTATTCTAAATTACATGATATAAAAAAAAAAAGATAGTAAGTAATTCTGTCATATTATAAAAATATATATACAACACCTTCTTTTGATATACATTGCAATGTGATCTTCAAACTTCAAGCTCGATTGTACCAAAAAAAAAAAAAAATTCAAGTTCAAACGATAATACAAGTCATATGAAATTACCAACTTGAGTGGTTGCGGGTTCATTTTTGATATACAACACCTTCTTCTTAAACTCTTTTCCCTCTTAATGCTTCCACCTGCCTGTTTCTTTTTGTTTTTTTATGTGCATACCCCCCCCCCCTCCCCCAAACAAACACCCATCAACCTCAAGGATAGTAATAATAGACCAATCAAGAAAATCATGGGACCAAATGGTATAAAGTTAACGTGACGGTATTGAATTAGTAAAATTTTTAAATCAATATTTAAAATAAGCCTAAAACTTTCTTTTCATCACAAGCTAAAATTGGTTGAATGTGAGTTCGATTTCCCACATGCGATAGTTAAAAGATGTCATGCTTCCACATCTTTCAAATTTATCGCGGGTGTAATTGGGATAGGAAGAAAGAATTAAATGACAACAAAAAATTTAAATTTTAACTTTGGACTTGTTTGGTGCATAGTTTTTATAATCTTAATTTACGTTTTATATGCACATTTTCGAAGTATGTGGGAAGGGAAATTCTATGGTATCGAAAAAAAATCGGTACTATCATACAATACTGACAATTATTAATTTTTTATGGGTAAAATTATAATTTAAAAAAAAAAAGTGACAACTACTTAAAGAAGGTGGTGATCGTTCACCGACACTTATAATCAATTATAAAAATCATGGTACTAATCTTAATATTTCATTATTGATCATATTTTTTAAAATTATAACTTACAAAATTATAATTTTCGATATGCGGATGATACTGTTGAAGTTCCCACGTAGGAAAGACATAGGAAGAAGGATACAGTCGCTCAATGGTGACGAGACTTTAAACATTCCCGGGACATCTTATTATGGTTCCATAATATCCTCATTAATAAATAATGGAATGCAAATGAATTTTTCAATTGGTTACCTCTCTTTGGTCCACGTCCCCACCTTCGGCGTGTTCTACAAATTATGTATTCTCTCTTTCCTCAGTTTCACCAATTTCTTCGAAGCATACTGCATTAGGCCATCCACTCTCTCTCCTCGTTTATAACCACTTGTTTGTCCACAATTGGTCAGCTCCCTCAAACATCCCCATGACCCCATCTCTCTTTCTATCTTTTACCGGATCTTTTCACCCTTTTCATTTCTCTCTCTTTTTAACACCCAGTTCAGTTCTTCTCTTCCCCCCAACTTGGTCCCCCTCTCTCTGTCTCCCCCCCCCCCCCCCTCCCCCACACACACACAACTCAAACCCTGGTATGGAGAAGTCGGCAATGGAGACAACTGAAAAAATCAAGTTAAATTCTTACAAGGAGTGCGAATCTACAACACAAAGCAGCAGGATGAAGACCAACATGCACACCTGTGTGATTCCAGTTAGGGGATCCATCAAGCGTCGGATCTTCGCCGGCTTCTTCCGTAGCCTAAAACTCGCTTGCAGACGCATCTTCCGTGCGTGTATTTCCCAAAATGAAGACATATAACTATATATAACTCTCTCTCTCTCTACATATATATGTGTGTGTGTGTAGTGCTCTTTATTTTCTGAAAGACTGAGTGTTCTTCTTATGTTGTGGCTGGTGCCATACAATGGGTTGCTGGTTATAATATATTCTGATGCTGTTTGGGGTAGTTGTTGTCATTGCTAGCTGGGTCTAGTTGGGATTATATATATGGGTTGGGTACTGTTGCTGATCTTCTTATTTCTTCCCGTTGTGGATGTTTTGCTGTTGCTATTGAATATGTGATGCCTTACATATATTCAAGCATGTTTGAAGGAAATCAAGAGCAATATATATTATAGAATTACATGTGTCCCGTAGTTGCAATTGCTTTTGTTGATTATCTACAAAATCACACATGTTGTTCAACATAATATAGACACACATGCACATATAGTAAATTAAATGAAAAAGAAGCTAGGAAGATAGAGAAAGAGGTGTGGGGTTTGGGACTCGATTGGTGGTTGGTACTGGCAGTGGTGCGATGGTTTTGGCTGGTGGGTGGTTGTGATGGGCGGAGCTGGTGGATGTGATTGTGGGTGGGTGGGGCTGGTGGTGGTGGCGGTGGCTGATGATGGGTAAAGGGGTGAATATCCACACACAACTGGATTGATGAACCAGAACCGGCCAACGCCGGCAAGAGTCCTCTCTTTCCATGGCAGTGCAAGTTTGGAGATTTCATTTGGTTTGTTAGGAATGTTATAAGAAGCCGTGGAAGTGAATTTGATCTGAAGCCACCAAAATCTTGACCGCTTTTAAGAAGACCCTTTAAGCCCTGGCGCAGAAAATCTTGTTGGGTTTCGGTAACTAGCCAAACGTTGCTGAAAGTTGTTAAAGCTAAGAGTAATACTACGTGCATTTAAAAACTAGACTCGTTAAATACTACTACAGCGGTCCGTTCGCAGGGTGCCGAGGTTTGTAGGCTTGAAGGACTTAACGCCGTGACAGATGGTATGGGAGCACTAGCTCCTGGGAAACGCCCAGGACAGGAGCTATTTCGACTCAAACAGGAAGTATAATTCCTATATCTCCTCTTATGTTCGGTTTGGGTTAGCATAAGGGTCGGCTCGTATTTTAAACGAGTCGAATTTAAATAATGTTTTAAATACATCTAAAAAATCAAGTTAAAAAGGATCAACTCATTTGTGTATAAACTAGTCAAGTTAGTTAAATTTAATTTGTTTCGGGCTCGACTCATTTTCTAATCAAACCGATCTTGAACAATTTTTTATACTTGTTTATAAAAATGAGCTCAACAAATTTAGTTTAAAGTCGCATAACTCGGTTTAGTTATCAGTCCTAATTTTAGTAATTTGAATCATAAAACTTGTTATGATTACAATTATTACAACACAAATGGACCAAATTTTTTATAATTTATATTACGATTTGAATCCGAAATAACACGATAATGTATTGTTAGAATTTTAAGAGGACACAACCACCGCCAGCTTAGTTGACTTCTGCTTACCCATCCACTGGAAACTATCGGCTGCAAATAGTAGACCTCTTAATCGATTGGAGTAACTTGAGCTTATGTTTCGTGTTGGCTTTATGCTTGTTTAAATTAACAAATAAAATGAATCTGATTAAATTTTTAAGCTCGGTTTGGAAATTTTTGTTGAAAAATCAATTACTTTAAGATTGATTAGTAAATTTTAAGGTTCAATTTTTAAGATTTTTAAGTGAGAAGTAAAACTCAATTTTCGAATCGAATGCTTGCATACTTCTGTGTAGTCAAGCTTAAACAAGTAATCACACCTAATCCAAATTTAAATATAATTAAGCTTACAAAACTAAACTAGATTAATAATAGAGAAATTTAGAAGTCGGTCCCCTTATATGGATTTGTGACGGGAAACTTATTTGTTATGAAGTCTATTTTTTGTTAATTTTACCATACTATTCATTCTCTTGAGAAGTGAAATAAAATTAAAAATTAAAAACTCTTAAATTTTAGTAGTTTGACTATCATTAAAATATTTTCTCTCTCATATCTATCTATATCCACATATAGGTTAAGAGTTTGATTAATATTAAAATATTTCTCATCTCTTATTTATTTATATATATATATATATAGTAACATTTAAAATAAAAAATAGTAACATTCAAATACAAAAAAAAAAGTTATCATTTGGATATAAAAAATAATACATTTAAATACAAAAAAATAGTAACATTTAAACATAAAAAAATTGAAACATTCAATATTAATATTTTTTAAAAAATAACAACAGTAACATGTTCGACAAAATATTAACATGTTAAACAAAAATAATAACATGCTTAACAAAAACTGTAACATACTTAACAATTATTATTTCTCTCAAATTTAAACACAAAAAATAGTACCATTTAAAAACAAAAAATAATAATATTCAAAAAAAATAGTAACATTAAATATTAATATTTAGAAAAATAATAATAATAACATGCTCAAAAAATAATAGTACATGAACAGTAACATACTCAACAAAAGCAATAACATGAACAGTAACACAATAATAAAATAGTAACAAGAATTTTTCGAATAAATAGAATATGTGTGAGAACGGAATGAATTTTTCGAATGTTATGGAAAAAACATTACCAATTCAATGTCCGACATCAATTAGTATTAAGTGTTGAGTTTGAATTTACAACTATTATAAGGTTTGAATAAACAATTTTTTTTTTACTGAAATAAAATCTGATTAAAATATTAACGATAACTTTAAAATAAGTACGACTATTCTTTGATGCCCTAACTTCATCGGCCTGCACCACTATATACACTACCACCACCACTCAAAGGACTACCTCCCTGCCACAACCACCACCTCACTACCATTGCAATCACCATTTCACACCATCACCACCACCTCTCCACATTGTTAGTCATGGACCACCCCAGACAAGCCCACATTAAAGATGCAGACCAGACCTAACTCAGAAATACAAATCGGACCCAAATTAAAGATACAAAATAATAAAAGTCCAGTCACAATTGATATGTGGCCGAGATCTGTTTCCTAAAAAGCCTAATTCATCATTAATGCATGCGGGAGTGTCCATCTGAGGAGAAGAAATAATTGGCACACAGTCATCAGGGACACAACGCCAGCGTTGCAAAAGAACTTCAAGGGATCACCTTGCTATCAAGTCTCCTATTACAAGTATAAGGCAAGACTCATGGTATCACCCCTGTTCCTTGTGAGGATAGCACTTCAATTAGAGCCCCTTGGAGCTAGTTTCGCTTTCTTATAAATTATAAGCCTCGTCTATACATGGAGGGCAATACACACATCTTAGCATACTACACTTTGAGCAATAAGATTCTCCGATCACTGTAACCCTTTCCAGTAGAATAGGTCACTCAGACCGAATCCACCCAATCTCTATTTTTACTTGTGTTGATCTCTTTTTACTTCATCTGTTAATTGATTTTGCATTATCACTTTTGTGCATCATCAGTTAACAACCACCACCTCCACTATCCCACTTCCACCATCATTACTCTATTATTACTATTATTATTATACTAATGCTATTGAGATATAATTTGAGAATTTAATGCATTATAATTATTGGATTGATAGAAGAGTGCATTTAATACTGTGACTCACTAACAATTCAATGACTACAATCATAATATCTCTAAATTATATCCTAATAGCGTTGCTCTTATTATTATCACCCCACTAATGTTGCTTGACTATGCATGATGTCACACCACCTCGTGGGTGCAACAATGGTGATGAGAGCCTTGAGGCGGAGTAAATATTAAATGTAACGGTGATATCATGTTACCATTGATGACATAGTATCACCAATTAATAATAAATTTTAAAATTGGTAAGGTAAACCCTACTTGGATTTACATGACAGAAGAGTGAGGAGTTATTTGTTTACATAGCAAATTAGTTATTATTTGTAGGATTTGTTTGTTTATTTGTTTTAGTATTATTGGTTAGTGAAATAACATCACTTTATCATGTGGTATCACCGTTATAATGTATATTTTCTTTATGAGGTGGGGGATGCGAAGCGATGAATTCTGTTACTTGGACTAATTCAGGAAATTAATTTTTGTAATTCATTACATTTTATCAGTGGGTTCCAATATTCGATAGAATTTACTTTATCTTATATTTATAATACTTAAATTATTTGTATACTTTTCATAACTATAATCATTCAATAAACTCATTTTCTATGATTATTTTAATCGAACTATCAAGTAGTAAGAGTTATAAATTTTTTTCTCAATTTTTTTTATCTTGTTTTTATTTTGTGTCTCAATTTTTTTTTGATTTTGAATAAAGAGGAAAGATAAATATATTAATTTTTAGGCATTGAAGATGATATTGTATCAATAGAGTTGTCAATGTTTACTAATATTGAGATTTTGAGAAAAAACTAATTTTATTTTTATATAAGCATAACACGACAATTCAAAAGTTTTACAAAGATAAATAGATTTAGATAATATGTTAGAGATTTGTTTATTATATAAATATAGAGGGATATAATGATAATTTAAATATTTAAATATGAAAAAACTTGTTAGTCTCTCTAATTTTTTATAAGGATCAAATAGTGAATCAAAAAGTTTTTACGCTAACAAATTTTTAATAGTGTATATATATATATATAGTACTGAATTAGTTTCTAAAATTAAAATTTCAAATGATAGGCACAAATATGTTTTATTATTTGACACTGGGTTTAACCGGTGACGACAAAGATTACTCTGCGTTGACTTTAGTTAATCGCTAACGCCGTTAAGGGACAAAAGACCACAATCGAGAAAGAACAAGGAAGATCACTGTGCATTGACTATGGGTTTACCTGGTCAAGCACAGTCCGACGTTTGCAGGGCTGGCTGGTTGGACACACCACAAATTAGAACGGTTCTTTACTACGAGAAGCAAAGCCAGTGCGCAATGAAATTCTTACACGTGTCTTTGTTCT